GGTATTTTCCTTTTTTAGAATATCCTGCAGTATTCTCTGTTGAATTTGTGGTTGCAAATTCCCCTAGTTCCTCTTTATCTTGGAAGCACCTTGTTTTTCCATCAATTTCTAGGGACAGTTGTGCAGGATATATCAATCTTGGCTGGAGGTTATTATCTTTTAAAGCTTGAATTATTTCCCCCCACGCTCTTTGTGATTTGATGGTTTGTGCCGAGAAGTTTGCTGTAATTCTGATGGGTGTTCCCTTGTAAGTGGTCTGTTTCTTGTCTCTGATGGCTTTTAATATTCTGTTCTTATATTGGATTTCTGGAATTTTGATTATTATATGCCTGGGTGTAGCTCTGTTTGGGTTGTAGGTAGCTGGGGTCCTGTATGCCTCATACATCTGGGTATCTTTACCTTTTGCTAAATTAGGGAAATTCTCCTGGATTATTTCTGTGAATAGCTTTTGTAGTTCATTTGTTTGTGTCCCTACTTCTTCATTTATGTTAATTCTTAAGTTATAGATCCTCTTATCATCTTCTAGCCTTTGTATTATTGCTGTTTGTTTCTTTGTTATTTTTAAGAAGTTTTTCATTTCATGCTCCCACCTTACAAATCTGTCCTCCCGTTCTGATAATCTATCCTTAGTTTCTTTCAAGCTGTTATGCCAGCTTTCAATAGAGTTTTTAGTTTCCTGTTAATCTCTTTGAACCTGCTTCATGTATTCTATGTTTTCTCTATTTTCTCCATCAAACAATTCTCCCCTTTTTTTCTGTTCTTCCATTCCACCATCTGTTTTTTCTTGGGCAGTGCTCAGCATTTCTCTACTATTCTACTTATATCTTGCTTTATTTCATTAAATACTTCACTTTTGAACTCGTCTATGAGGCTCCGGAGATATCACTTTATGTCTATTGTTGCCGTGTCTGATATTGCATCTTTTCTGTCTTCATTCTCCTTTGCATTTACCTTTCCTGTATCAGTGTTCTCAGGATTGGGGACTGAGGACCCTTTCTTCTTGCTCCCTCTTCCCATACATTTTGTTCCTTCCATATAAGTGTATATAGGAGGCCCAGTTTTTTTCTTTGCCAGTTACAGTTTGTTTGAATCCACCAGCTAGGTGTTCCCGCCCACTGCAGTGTACTAGGGAGACACAGACCTGGGCAGCCTTTGCTGGGCCCGCCCCTCCAGGTCAACCTACTGAAGGCTTCACTGCTAGGGTGCACCTCCAGGCACTGGGACCTGGTTTGGGCGAGCCTATTGGATCTTAGTCCAGGCATCACCCAGGCCAAACGCTCCCCAACAGTCCCTCTTGAGAGGGGAATATGCGACTAAAGTCACTGCAGCGTTCTGTTCCGGCTAGTCTGCCCGGTCCCAGAATGTCCTCTGTTGGAACCTCCTAGTCTCTGGAAGGGTCCCCGTTAATCTCACTCACCACAGGTCGATGCTGGGCTCCTGCCAGTCCTGCTCTCAACTCTGTTTGCCAGTTCCCACTCTCAGAGCTTTCACATCTTTTTCCCTGCTGTGCTGATTCAGACGCAGCAGCAGTGCAGCAAATTCAAATCGCGTTTTCCAGAGGTGCGGGTTCCAGCTTCAGCTGAGATTTTATCTGTTCCTGTTATAGCACTGGGATTGCATTTCCAGTTGGTTTCTCTCAGCTTTATTCGTTCTTGGGTCGGCAGGGTATATCTCCTCTTGCTTAGGACTCCTCACACCGCACCATTCCTGGGTTCTAAGCTGGCTGTCTCACAGAGCCTCCATAGCTGCTGTTATCTGTCTGCCATGTTGTCCCAGAAGTCCCAATGGATAGTCTTCACCCTCCTTTCACATGGAGGAAGGATGAAAGTCTCTCTCCAGCCTTTTATAAGGGCTCTAAACCCATTCATCTTGGCTCCACCCGTCAAAGCTCCCACCTTCAATACCACCACTATTCAGGAGTGAGAATTTCAACATGAATTTTGAGGGTCATGTGAACTCAGTCCATTGTACCTCCTAATGGTCACCTCCCTCTCCATTCAAATGAGGGGACCACGGCACCCCCTATACTCATCTCTTAGAGGATTTTACTTAATACTGTATTTGTCATTCTCCAACTTAATTCTTTGAGATCAGAACCTAGTATATGGGTAGAAGCAAGGATGAATGCACACGGCAGGCTTTTAGGCAGCTGTAGGAGTTACTGTCATGTGGCAGTTTAGAGTAGTGGTGGTGGAACCTGTGGCACAGGTGCCACTGTGGGCTGTTTGCATCACTGAACGCTCTAAGAGGTTTGCCATCACTGGTTTTAGACTTTAAAGCCCAACCACTTGGATTCAAATCTCAGCTCCGTCTGTGTATCATGTTTGTGTGTTTTAGTTTTGTTTATTCAAAGAGGGGGGCTAACTGTGCATGGTGGTACATGGCCACAATCCTCGTCCTCCAGGAGGCAGAAGCAGGAGAATCACAAGTTCACATCTAGACTGGGCCACTCAGAGACCCTGTCTCAAAAAATAAAAAGGGTCAGGAAAGGGATGTAAGGATGCTGAGTTCAGTCCCCAGCCCTGCATGTAGGGGGTGACTGTAGGACGCAGCTCACACTGTTGGAAGTGTTGTGGTTAGAACAGTGCTGCAGATGGTAAGTGCTGATGAGATGGTTGCTAAGATTTTTATTGTCCCCCACATACTTTTTTATAAGTAGTCGTGTCATGGACCGGTGGGTGCCCGAGGAAATAAATTCAGCTTTTCATCTGTCAAAGTGAAGTAGTATTTTTGTCTTTACCAGGGTTTAGGAGGCAGACGGTGTGGGAAGGGTCAGGGAGTTCCTCAGTGTGTCACAGCTGAGGACGTGTGTCAGTGGGTGGCGTGTGCACGTGGGCTCCTAAACAGGCTTTCCGTCTGGTTAATGGGTCAGTTCACTAGAGCGACGTGCTTTCCTCAAGCTGGTTCTGACGCCTGTTCATTCAGAGGGTAAACAGATTACTTATTAATGATTATTATTTGATAAAATCTTTAGTAATAGTGATGCATGAAAGAGATGGTAAGAACACTTTGAGTAGGAAATACTGAGGAAAAAGGCATGGAAAAATGTTTGAACTGTTTAGTAATTTTTTTTTTCCTTTGGATTTTAAAAAGTCTTTAATATTTAATATAATTGATTATATCTTGCTCTTGACTTTAATTTTTATTTTTGGTTTTCCCTTAAACATTTTATTATGAAAAAATTCTAGTATATAGCAAAGCTAGAGGAATTTGCAGTGCACACACCCATTTATGAGGTGTGAAAAAAATGCAGTGAGTATTTAAATTAAAAATTTGTTACACTGCAAGATGCATCGCCATTCATGCCGCTGAAAATATTCCCTGACTTTGAACATTTATCCCGTTGTTCTTGCCGCTTTTGGAGGCGGTTCTCCAAGTCCTGTTTTGTGAGTGCCTTTGCTTACACTGTCATGCCTACCTCGGTGTCTTGATTATTCAGAGTGTCTTACTTTTCTGTGGGGAGGAACCCGGAGTGACACAGTGGCGGGGCTGGTGAGTAAGGTGGGTGAGGATGCACTGATGTTTTTTTGAGCCTGCCTTCTGGTGAATGGCACTTGGCAGCAGCATTCACAGTACTGTTTTTGTTTTGTTTTGTTTTCTGTCTTTTTGAGATGGTCTCGCTATGCAGTTCGAACTGGCCTTGAGCTCACTTTGTAGCTCAAGCTGGTTTCGAATTTGCAGTGATCTTCCTGCCTTAGCCTCCTGAGTGCGGGGATTACAGGTGGGTGCCACCACACCTGGCTTCACTGTACTTTCTATTGGACACTTTTTTTTTTTTTTTTGTGAGATGCTGGGATGGAACTCAAGGCTTCTCTCATGGCTGGCAAATGTTCTACCTTTGAGCTGCATCCCCAGTGCGTCACATAGATTCTGTTTGTAATACTTGCTTAATCACAAAGCTCAAAAAGCCTTTTAAAATTTATTTAATTTTATTTTGGAGGTATGGGCGTTGGCACTTAGGGCCTTGGGCATCTCAGTCAAGCACTCTTACCACTGAGCTACATCCCCGGTCCTCATGCAATTTATTTTTTAAAAACTTAATTTAATTTTGTTGTCTTTTTGAGGTAGGGTTTCACTGTGCAGTCAGGCTTGAACGCATTTTATAGTCCTGGCTGGCTTTGCACTCACAGTGATCCTCCTGCCTCTGCCTCCCGAGTGCTGGGATTACAGGTGTGTGCCACCGTGCCCAGCCTGCATGTACTTTAGATTTTGTTTGGTTTATTCTATTATTTTATATATATGGAAAAAGTCACTGTTTTACTTTGAGCCCCCCAAATTACTACTGGGCTGCATACATGGTGCAGTTCTGTTGAAGAGTTGTGGAGTGAGAATTGTTTTTATTCGAAGGATTCCTTAAGATTCATGGTGAAGGACAGCTCGGTGGAAGGGTGCATGCTAAGGCACGCGTGAGGCCTTGCGTTCCATAGCCAGCACTGGAAGATAAAGTTCGAGGAGGAGCAAGGGGGAGAAACTTGCAGGTGGAAAAATAAGTCCTTGGGAAAGTAGTGTAGTGCACAGCTCATCAAAAATTTCTGATATGCTGTGTTCATTTTCTCTTTTTTTTAGTTTCACTTTGCTAGTTGTTTGGGCTCAGCTCTTAATGTTTCCAGTAAATGGCAACAATTACTGAGCCAAAAAGGAACTAAGTTAGGTAAAAAGTTTTCAAGAAAATCCTCCTGTAGAGAAAAGCCTGAGATCCCAGTCATGTGGGCTTCACTGCCTCGGACAGGTTGCTGAGGATCCGTGCAGGACCGCAGTGTGCGCTCCCCGGGCGTTCTGCCAGCTGTCCAGAAAAGCAGGAAGAGGTCAAGGGGCAAAATCTTGATTATGATTCAAAAAGAAGGCGTAGTTACTTTGTTCTTCACGGACTAAGGAAGCGCTCACCAGGAAGCCAGGTTTCTTTGGGATGGCAGTTTTTGGTTGCTGCTCTGCTCTGGTGATCTGTTTATCCGGAATGTAGAGCTGCAGACCCCTAATGAGTTTCTCCTTTGCCCTTTCAGGGTACGTCTGTGTCTGAGATGGGCATGCTGTAACCTCCACTGAGGAGAGAATGGCATCTAGTCCTGTGCTTCCCGTGGACAATGAGCAGGTTTCCTCCGGCATTGATGACCTCCACATCTCCCTGCAAGGTAATGGAGCCCAGGTGGGGTAACAGCCCAGGCATGGTGGCCCACTGACCTTCCTCTCTGTGCCAATCCTATTAGTTTCTGTCTCTTACGTGGTTTGCAAAATGTGTCTGTGTTTTTCCTCTACAGTAGTATAGTACACAGTCCTTCACATACGTCAGGTGCTCGGCTCTGGAAGCTACGAGAGTAAGGACTGTCTGAAAAGGATCGTTATCTCTGGTTTCTGAATATACATTTACAGGGGAAAATGAAATAGTTAACCATAGTTTGCTTGGCACTGTTTGCACATTTGTATCTCTCTGTATGTTAGTCTCAGCTCCACATCTATATTTTGCTCCAATCTAGAGGAATAATTGTACTATTTTGAAGGAATGATGTTTCAATGGATAAGAATCACGTGTGTACACTTGTAAGTACTCTGTTTTGTTTTGATGTTTCTTAGGAAATTCAGCAATACTTGTGTTTTTTTTGTTTTTGGTACCGGGAATCAATCTCAGGACCTTGTGCTTGCCAGGTAGGCACTGTGCCACTGAGCCATATCCCTGGCCCTTGTGTTGTGTTTTAAAAATTCATTAGCCAGTAAACTTTCTGTCTTTGGTGATAAAACAAATCTTGCAGTTGAGTAAAGTTAGCTGGTATAAAGGGGGCCCTTGAAAACTTTTGTGAAACTGTATTTTAAAGTAGTTTTTTTGTTTGTTGTGTTTTGTTTTGTTTCTTGAGAGAGGGTCTCACTATGCAGTTCAGGCTGGCCTTGGGCTCACTTTGTAACCCAGGCTGGTCTCAACCTTGCAGTGATCCTTCTGCCTCAGCCTCCTGAGTGCTGTGATTGCAGGAATGTACCACGCATGCTCAGTTTAAAGTAGTCTTTTAAGATTACTTGAAAGGACAGTATTATATAACCTTTAGGATCTTTCTGGGCTACAGATTTTTGAGTCATTTATGAGAAAGATTTTAAAATGACTTTCTGATTCTTTTTGATTAAAAATGTGTTTTGAATTCTTAACTTGCTGACTTTGAGATTAAGATGGAAGTCTTGGCTATTACAGTCTATAATATCTATCAGAATTTAAAAAATAAATGTTGTAACTTGTATTAAGTAAGAAATACTGAGGTTGTTGGGAAATAATACTTGAGATAAGAATATAAACATTTTCAGTAAGTATATTTAAAACGTACAGTATTCACAAATACTTGAATTTTCATTTAAATGAAAAAAACGTGCTTACTTTTCTTTGCCATTTTGGCTACAGTAAATATTCAGGCAAGTCTGATTTCTAAAGCTGGCTGTGCTGCATAGTAATTCCTTGCATGTAGACCAGAGGCGTCATCTTTGGACCATCCCTTCCCTTGTGTGGGTACCGTGGATGGTGGTGTCTGTCGCCGCTGCAGTGGGTTTGTGATGAATAAGAACACGACACTTAGCAGGCAGCACTGTGCCTGCCGCCGAGCAGGGACCCTTCAGTGTACGTTTCTTCTTTTTGTGTGTTGGCAGTCAGAATCTTCGTTTTAAAATCATTGTCCAGGAGCACGCAGCCTGGGTAACAACCTGGGTACGGGAACAGATTGCAAACCAGAAGTCTTGTTTTGCTGGTGTTCCAATCGGTGTTCATCGCAGTGGCTTCCCGGCACACCTGGGATGAGCTGTGAGCCTTTTGCTCTTTGTGACCCCGTGCTCGCTTCTCTCGGTGCCCTTATCTCTCAGCACACTCCGGGGCACTCTGGACTCCAGCCCATTCTATGTGCTGTTCATTCAGAGACCCCGCAGATGGATGGGCAGCCATCCTTTACGCATCCTAATGACAGTCCACTTCTGCCCCTTCTGGTAGGCTGAGGTAGGCACCGCCTCCTCTGTTCTCCTTTTGTATCTATGAGAGTTCTCCTGGTACTATAGTGAGCTTCCTGACTTTATATAGCAAGCTCTAGCTTTCTAGTGCTCTAGCATACATGATCCACTTGCTTCTCACAGGCACATTAGAAGACAGATCTTTTTGTCTTTTTAGTGTGTGTGCTGCCAAAGCACAGATCTTTTTATCTCTGATGAACGCAGAAGCTATGACCCGAGAAGACTGGCTGACTTTCTTGGAGTCACACAGTTAGCGAGCAGCTAGGCTTTGAGGTGGATGACAGTTTTCTTTTTAGTACACCTCCACCCTCTTTATCACACTTCAGAGAACAATTTGAAAGGGAATTTCCATGACACTTCTTTTCTGAGCATTGATTAAATCTTTGTCTTATTCTTTGGATATTTTCTAATTTGTATTGCAAACTTTGCTACCTAAAATATGGATGAACACCTTTAGATAACATGAATGATCTCAGGTTCACAAATTGAACTAGCAAATTACTGATAAGTGCATGGTTTCATATGATATATTTTGAATTATAACCAAGTTATGCTTCATAATGAAACACTACTATAACCTAGCTAGCAAGGAAAATATGATGTCCAGCCACTAGCTAGCAAGGAAAATATGATGTCCAGCCACCAGGCAGCCTGAAAGGTTTGCTTGCATGATGTATGTGGAAGGCGAGTGCTGGATGTGGGGCGGAGGTGGAAGAGCAGAACTGTGGTGTCAGGTCTGCTCCCACTAACCTGGAGCGCTCAGGAGACATCTATGGTACCAGGATGCCAAAGCAGATAAGAACCACGGAATTAAAATTGGAAGAGATTTTCTCTGCCGTTCAGTATAACTTGAGAACAAGGTAGGAATTTTTTCAGAAGTGATCCTTCTGGAATTGAGATCCTTTAGGAAGTTAAATTAAAACCCAAGTGGCTTGGGGTTTTCTTTTTTCTTTTTGATCTTTTGAGACAATTTCACTGTGTAGTTCAGGCTGGTCTTACACTCACTTCATAACCCAGGCCGGCCTTGCAGGGATCCTCCTGCCTCAGCCTCCCAAGTGCTGATCTTACAGGTGTACACCACCATGCCTGTCTGAGATTTTTCTTTTAGACAGTGCTTCCCTGTTGGGTTTTGACAATGCGAGATATGTGGTCATAATTGTGTCTTACAGGAGTCATTGGATTTGAGAAATGGGAAGCCTGGAAAGGGCAAGAAGGTAGAGTTAGGGGAAAGGGTTAAGTGCTTGCAGTGCATAACTGTAAACCCAATACTCAGGAGGCTGAGGCAGGAGGATTGCTGTGACTTCAAGGCCATTTTGGGCTACAAAGTGAGCTCAAGGCCAGCCTGAATTATATAACCAAAGCCTGTCTCTCAAAAAGACCAAAAGCAAACAAACTCCCCCAAATCAAAAAATAAAACACTTGCTTGTATCTGGCAGTTAGGGAATGTTTGCTTGGACTGGAGTCAGAGTAGCGAGCATGAAGGTGTAGGACCCATAGGAAACCTGTTAAGCTGTAGGACTCAGTAGGGCTTCGCTGCTATTGAATGTGGACAGTCAGCTAGGCAGCCTCTACGCTTTTGAAGTTGAGCTACTTGGGATAGAATAGTAGCACATAAAATGACCAAACAAATGGCTTTATTTAGTGTATCTTGAGATTCATTTCTTTTAAAACTGATTTTAATATAATTTATAATTTCTTGGTCATGCAGGATAGAATTTATATAACCAAAATAAATTATCCTGTTTTCAGACACGGTGGAGGCCAGCACCTTAGGGAAACAGCAGCCAGCTATGGGTTGCTGAACTTCATTAGACACAGAGGTAGGAAGGAGCATGTATTCCGTTACCTTTGCCGCACCGGGAGTTAACTTTCAGGATGGCCTTCCAGGACGCGGGTGAACGGTTAACCATCTGCCCGGCCTGTAGAAGAGTCTGCTGCCCGGCTACTGTGTCATGTCAAACAATGCTCGTGTATTTTATTTAGTGCTCTTATCATCTAGGCGACATTCTGTAAAAGGTGAGCCCCTGCTCCCCTCGTGTCTTGCAGGTAGGTGTCATTAGGTGATAGGGCTCGGTGACATGTGAGTATCTCCAATTAGGTTATTACTCCACTTAAATGTGTTCACTGCTTACCGAGTCCATCGCCTTATTTTTAGTAATATTAAAAATGACCTGCGTTAGGGATACATAATTGTAATTAGGTAGATGGAATAGATGTCAACAGACCTGTTAGACAGCAGGGTCACTATAGTTAATGATAACATATTGTGTATAGTGCTGGTTTTTTATGACTGAACACAGGGCCTCAGACATGCTGGTCTAAGGTCTACCCAAACCAATATATCTATCTATATCTATATATCTATATCTATATATATAATTTAATTAAATTTTTTCTAGTATGTTTTTGAAAGATGTAGGACGAACGTTACGTTCTCTTATCACAAAAATTATGATAACCATAAGAGATACCTCATCTGTTAATTAGCTAGGTTTAGCCATTCTATAATATATACATGTACTTTAAAACATCACATTGTACGTGATGAAAACATGTAATGTTATCTGTGAATTGAAAAAATCCTACTGTCAAAGAAAAGACAGCTATGTTTTATGAGTTAGGTTACAGGCATCATAGTGAGAGGCGATATTTACCTTTATCCTCTCTTCAGTGCATGTGGAGGGCCAAGCTTTACAGTGTGCTAAATGTCAAGAGGATGGAGGGAGATAGGCCCAGCACCTTCAGGAAGCATCTCGGCGTGTGTGTGCCTGCACCACGGGGTGCACTGTGCGTCTGGCTGTCTTCATGGAAACAGCTGAAATCTCTAACATTGTAGGGTCATGTTCCTGATTTTGATTTCCATCATGCAAATTCAAGCAATGTATGCATGGACATATTGTTTGCATTATCTTTTTGTGTTTCCCTTTTAGGGAGGTTAAGAGTAACAATCTAATGTATATAACCTATTTTTGCAAGTCCGTTAAGTACCCCTCTCACTCTGGCTGGAGCGTCCCTGCTGTTTTTGTCCTGTGACTAAGTCCTGTGTAGCTGTGCCTTTCCTGGAGTTTCCTCCAGTCATTGCTATTATTTCCTTCACAGTCTGCCAAGTGTGTATGAGGTACCCTGTGCATGATACTCCTGCATCTTCGTTGCCAGTGAA